CTCCTCCTCGTCCTCTTCAGGCGCAAGCCAAGCGGGCTGAACAGGCCGCCTTTCGGAGTGTGTATATTCGCCACCCAGCCCCTGCTGAGGCTTCTGCGTGTCGGCGCTCTCTGTGCGTCAGGTGATTCTCAGTTTTGAGCGGCTTCGTGCTGGCCCCACCGAGCAATGCGACATCGTCGCCTCAGGTGGAATCGAGGTAGAATCCTTCCCTCCTCCCCAGACGGCCGACGTCATGTGTTTTTCCTGGACATGGGCCAGGTCCAGAAGCAAAGCGACCCTCAGGAGCTGGAGCAGAGGAAACACGTCAGGATAGGAAGCGCCACGACGTCGCAGGTTTTGGTGGTCCTCCCCAGGATCGGCCCCTGGACCTTGCCCGGGGCGCGTTCTGGGCAGAAGTTCAAGGGGGATCCAGCCGTGGTCGCGAGGGTACACATGAGCCCGACCGCGTCCTCCTCCCCCGTCTCCTTGTCGTCGTCGTCGTCGTCGTCGTCGTCGTCGTCCTCACGCCCCTCCCTCCCTCGCCCTGCACCGCGGCGCGGGCCCGCAGGTTCCTGGCCATCATCAACATGATGGAGGGCAAAACCGACCGCAAGCCAGGCGATTTCGGCATCCGCACGTGGTACCCCAAGGATGGCTTCGGGAGGTCTAGACCCGACTCGTCCTCCGACGTCCCAGGTTCCCAGAGGGCCTCCAGGGTCCCCAAGCGACAACATGAACCGTCCTTCGTGACTGCTGTCACGCGCGAGTGGGTCTGGGCCTGGGGCTCAAGCATCGGTCCCCAGTCACGAGCGGCAAGCATATCTGTATCCGCGCCCTCGCGGTCTGGATTCTGGGGCGCGATCCCGCGGATACGCGGTCGCACGGATGCGTTCCGCGCGGGGCATCCGCGAACAAAACGCTCCGTATCCGCGGGGAAGAGGCAAGAACTGTCCTCCAACCTCCGTGCTCGAGTCTAGACCCCTTGGGCCCAGCTGTCGCCCACCGTGTGCGAGGGAGACACACACCCACACCCACGGCCTCGCGGTCGCTGCCTCCTCGGCCGCGGCCCCCTGGCTGCGTGCGTTTTTTTTTTTTTTGTATGGCTCCTAGGTTGTCGCAGGACGCCCCGCGGGGCGGAGCGCATACGTGCGACCGAGCATCCGCGGGGATCGTCGCCCCGCATCTCGGGGAGAGGTGGAAGGAGGAGGAGGAAAGGTCAGATAAGAGGATGAGGAGGAGGAGAGGAGGAGTGAGAGGAGGTGAGGAGGAGAAAGAGTAAGAGGAGGAGGAGGAGGAGGAGGAGGAGGAGGAGAAAGAGTAAGAGGGAGAGGGAGGAGGAGGAGGAGGGAGGAGGAGGGTGAGGAGGAGGAGGAGAATGTAAATGAGGAGGAGGTGGGAGGAGGAGGAGGAGGATGGAGGAGGATGGCAGGAGGAGGGGGTTGAGGAGGAGGAGGAGGAGGAGGAGAAGCAGAGAGTGCCACGCTCCGTGCACGGCGGCTCGGGGGAATGGCGGGGCGGCCTCCTTCCTCGGGGCGGCGGCGCGAGGGCGTCCGAAGCCGGCCGCGCGCCGCGCCCCGCGGGGAGCGGAGCGCGAGGCGCGCGAGACGGGGTGACCTGCAGAACTAAAACGACAGGAGGAGGAGGAGGAGGAGGAGGAGGAGGAGGAGGAGGAGGAGGAGGAGGAGGAGGGAGAAGATGGAGGAGGAGGAGGAGGAGGAGGAGCCTCCCGAGGACACCCCGTGCCGAGGTGCGCCAGGGCCTGCGAGGTCGGCCCCCCCGCGCACTCTGCGCGTCGAGCGCCCCCTTTAAAACGACGCGAAGATCGGGACAAAATCGGATCGGGATAACTCGAAATCTCTGGGACTCGGCGGGTTTGGAGGATGTATTGGGCGCCGCGGCCGCTCCAGAGCGTTCCGGAACGCTCTGAGAGCGCTCCGGAACGCTCTGGAGCGATTCATCCCGATCCTAGCCTTGTTTTCAGAACCCAGACCGCGAGGGCGTGGATAAGTACTCCTTAGGCGATGCTTCAGAAAGCTTGAATTTTCGGCCAGAGTCTCGATGATTCTTGATGTTTCAGTGTAAGTCCTGAGATTTGAATAGAAATTCTGTTTTTTTAATGCAAGTTGTGAGACTATGAACTTCTGAACCCATGATTTCTTAAGCATTTCGCAGGGTGTACTCCGGATTCCATAATAAAGTCGGGGGGGTCACATTTGGGGGGGGGTCTGATTTGAGCTGTCCTGGAGGGTTCGGGGGGGTCTGGGCAAAGGGCCGCCCTTTCATGGATGGTCTGGGAGGGTCTAAAACTTCTCGTCTGGGAGGGTTGAGACCCTCTCCCTTGTATATTACGAAATCTGGAGTACAGTGGGGGCCCATGCCAAGAAACACCCTGCTTGCCTCCAGGGTGCCCTGGGTTTCTTGGGTCTCGATGGTTTTGCGATGGAAGGCGTGACGTTCCCGCAATGGACGTCCTGGGGTCTCAGGGTTGGGTTTCTTGTGGGAGGTTCCTTGTGGTCGGGCCTATGTGTCCGCCCCGGCGAGGACGAGAAGGGCCAGTACGAGATGCAGCTGAAGGAGCTCCGCAACGGGCGCCTGGCGATGCTGGCCTTCGGCGGCATCGCGACGGCTGGGGCGCGCCGCCCGCCTCCTGGAAGACAAGTCGACGTCGTCGTCGTCGTCGTCGTCTTCGTCGTCGTTGTCGTCGTCGTCGTCGTCGTTGTCGTCGTCGTCGTGATGGTCGTCAGCGTCGTCGTCGTCGTCGTCGTCGTCGCCACCGCTGCCGTCGCCGCCGCCGCCGTCGTCGTCGTCGTCGTCGTCGTCGTCGTCGTCGTCGTCGTCGTCGTCGTCGTCGTCGTCGTTGACGTCGTCGTCGCCGCCGTTGAACATTTGTTGTTTGAGAACAGGTATTGTTGATCTATGGAAGACATTCCGGGCGCTCTGACCTCAACGCCTGCTTCATCTTTGTGGAAATCGAAATTCCCTCTCGAGCGCGGGCTCCCATCGGGCCCAACTACGACGAGAACGGATTCCGCTCGATATTTCTTCACGATTCAGCCCGAGACGCCCTGAACATAGAGGCACCCAAACTCAGAAACGACATTCTCGCTCGAGACTCACGCAATTCAGTGAAGTTGGTGAAGGCCCGACTGCGACAACAACGACACCCGTTCGATACGCCCTCGCAATTTATTCTGAGGCACCTTGGCCAGAGACGCCCCCGCTCTTAGGAATGGTGCTCTCGTCCGAGATTTCAGCGCAATCCACATGGGTGGATGAAGGCCGAACTACGACGACAATGGCTCTGGCTGGATGATTTCTCGCAATTTGTTCCCACGCGCCCAGGTCAGATGCCTTCTAACACTCAGGAAAGGTGCTCTCGCCCAAGACTTCCTCGTAATTCACTTGGGTTGGTGATGGCTCAGCTGCCACGACAACATCTCTGGTCCGATGCTTCCTCGCGATCTATTTTGGAGACGCCCTGATCAGGCACGTCTTCTCATTCAGGCAGAGCGCCCGAGACGCTGAACCAGCCCACAGAGTGTCCTTTCAGATACCGTCGTGTCTGTGGCGCAAATCCTGTGTACGATGATGCAGGCCTAGCTGGTGGCAACACATGCATAGGTCTACCTTTCACCTCAGTGTGCGCTGCCCTTAAGGCGTACGCGTCTCTGGGGGGGGGCATCCCGACTCATAGTGCGGGCGCTGTCCCCCAGGGGGTTGGCATATGCGGATCGGCTCACTGGTACGATCATCCTTCTCTCAGAACCCTCCAGGGTTCGTGCCTGTAGCACTGAACGCGTCGGGGTCTGTGATGCATGGGCTGGGAGCGCTGAACCCTCCTGGGCTCGTGCTCGCAGTCGCCCCGCGCAGAACCCTACGGGGCGCGTGACTGCAGAGTAGCCCGCGGCTGCGTCAGCTCGCGTGAAGGCCATGGCAGCGTGGTGCACGTACGTGCGAACTGCTGGGTACTCCTCCTTGCACACTTCTCCCAGCAGCAGAATGCTTGCATCGCAGACTACGTCAACCAAGGCAAAACACTCCGAAAGGCGATTGCTGCATAGACTTAGACGGCTGGTAGAAGGGAGAGGGATATTCAAATGAAGGCCACCCGGGCTCCTTACATGGTACTTTCACAAGATGGCCGTCGTCGTCGTCGTTGTCGTTGCCATCGTCGTCTCCGATGTCGTCGTCGTCGTCGTCGTCGTGGTCGTCGTCGTGGTCGTCGTCGTGGTCGTCATCTTTGTCGTCTTCGTCGTCTTCGTCGTGTTGTCGTCGTGTTTGTCGGCGTCGTTTTGGTCGGCGTCGTCTTTGTCGTCCTCGTCGGTCGTCGTCGTCGTGGTCGTCGTCGTCGACGTCGTCTTGCGGCCGTCGGCGTCGGCACCGTCGCCACCGAGGATCGGGGATCGGTGCCTTTGGGCAGCCTCTTTCGCCCCACTCGGGGCCTCTTGGAGGCCTCTTCGCCGCAACGGCTGCGTTCACCCTTTTCTGGAAAGTTTTGACCAGAACATGCCCCAGGATCAGTCTGTCACCACCTACCAGACCACCCCAACCCAACCCGAAGGCCTCAATTTGCCCTCCATTTCCAGTGGGGGGGGGGGTCGGGGAACGTCGAAAAAACACATGGAACCCGTACCCCCCCCCAACCCGAAATTCGGGTCAAATTCGGGTCTTCGGGTTGGGTTGGGGTGGTTTGGTAGGTAGTCAGTCTGGGTCATGGTGGTGGTGGTGGTCGTCATCGGCCCAGACATCCCCCGTGATAAAACACATCGTGGCGGCCGCTTGTCTTTCGGCCTCAGGGAGCCCGCTTCAGGCCCATGGGGCCTTCAAAAAAGCGGTCCAGGACGCGTCGTCTTTGTTGTGTTTGTCGTCGTCCACGTCTTCGTCGTGCTCTTTTTTCTCCTCCTTCCTCGTTCCACTGTTACGGCGTACAGCAGAAGAATTTGCACGGTCATGGAGGCGCACTGCTTCGTCGTAAATGATCTGTCAAAGACACATGGCCCTGGCTTGAGCGCTGCCCACATTCGTGCTGGAAGGTTGCAGCAATTACGCAGACAGAGGGTGGCTGGTTTTGAACATGTGGCTCTCCCCGAAAGGGCCGCGCACGCAGTCGGCTTGCAATGCTGCAGCATCTGCGCGTGTGGAGGGCGGCTGGTTTTGATGACGTGTTTCTCACCGAAGCTCCGTGCACGCTCGTATCAACGAAGAGGAGCCGCTACGCGGATCGAGAAGGGTGGTCTCCTGGTTACCCAAGTGGGACTCTCGCTCGAACCGCTTTCAGAGCGCATGGCCCGAGATTTTGGACATCTGCAGAAGTGGCACGGACGGGTGTTCCTTCTCAACGTGGGGCTCTCGGTTTGATATTTTGAGTTTTTCCAGATGTGCAGCAGTGGCTCGGGTGGATTCGGGCTCCGTTTTAAGACTCGACCCCGTGTGGCACCTCGACCGCCTTCTCCTCTTCTCCTCCTCTCCTCTCCTTTCCGCCTCCCTCTTCTCTCCTCCCTCCTCCCTCCTCCCTCCTCCTCCCTCCTCCTTTTCGACGTTGCTCAGACATGAAGCACCAAGCTTGGTGCGTCGAAACCTCCCTCCTCCTCCTCCTCCTCCTCCTCCTCCTCCTCCAACTCCTCCTTCCCCCCCTCCTCCTTCACCTCCTCCCTCCTCCTCGACGGAGCCCGTCCAACACCGATTCCTGGAGCATTCACGAGGTCCCTCCTGTGCGGCACATTTCATCCCAGGTCGATCTTTTTCGTCCCTGGGGTCTTCGAGAGCGGTCCTCTCAAGGGACAGAGGATGGCGAAACGCCCCGTCGAGCACCTCGCCCTCGCGGGCGGGAAGCGTGCCCACCTTCACGGCCTCGCGGTCCGGCTGCGTCGGCCAACACGCGCGCGGCGGCTGCCCGTGCGGAGGCCCCGCGCGTGACGTGCCCGTGGGATCGCGCCTCGGTGTCCAGGCCCTAAGGGCGCAGGTATGGATAGGTTGCACGCCGGTCGGTGACGCACTCCCAGGTCCCAATCCACTTCGAGCGCTTTCCTACTTCAATAATCGATCTTCTCTTGCCGTGTTCCGCTGTTCTCTGGGGGTGCCTGAGCCCAATGCACTTTATCCGCCTTCCTATTTCCATGTTTTTACCTACTTATTCCGACCGACGTGTAGATGCTCGATGATTGACCCCTTGTTTAACACAGCCGTCCAGCTTTCGCGCCGAATACCGCCCTAAACCCCGAATGCCGCCAGAAACCGCGGAAGACCACCGTAGACCGCCGAGGACCGCCAGAAGATCGCCGAAGACCGCCCAGGGCCGATGGGGAGACAATGAGGTCCGATCCTCGATCCTCGATTTCTCCCCCTCCCTGCTCTCGGAGCGGGCAGAGACTTGTTCCGGTGGCGAGCTAGAGGGGGAAGTGCGAAGGAGAAGGCCTTCCCAGAAGGCGGCGGGGCTTCTCAGAAGCCCGCCGACCTTCCGAGCCCGAGGAGTCCCCCGCGCCTTCCGGGAAGGCTCGGAGAGCTTCTCAGCAGGCCCGGGGACTTCCGAGCCTTCTGAGGCGGCCCGCCCCTTCTCGCTCCCCCCGTGGGGCTCGCGCCGGCCCCGGGGAGGCCAGGCACTTCGAGCCGCGCCGCCGCCGCGCGCCAGGCGTTCAGCGGCCAGGCGTGGCCGTTCTTCGGCTTCTCCGCCATGGGCGCCCAGGGCCGCGCGGGGCGGAGCGCCTCCAGCCAGGCGGCTGCGACGACGACGACGACGACGATGACGACGACGACGATGACGACGACGACGACGACTACCGGCAACGACGACCGACGACCGACGATAACGACGACGACGACGACGACCGACGACCGACGACCGACGACCGACGACCGACGACCGACCACCGACGACGACGACGACGAGGACCGACGACGTCGACGACGACGGACGACGACGACGACGACGACGACGACTACCAGCAACGACGACCGACGACCGACGACCGACCACAACGACGACGACCGACGACAATGACGACGAGGACGACGACGACCGACGACGACGACCGACGACGGACGACGACGACCGTCGACCGACGACCGACGACCGACGAGGACGACGACGACGAGGACCGACGGCGACGACGACGACAACCGACGATGACGACGACGACGACGGACGACGACGACTGACGACGACGACGACGACTACCGGCAACGACGACCGACGACGACGACCGACGACGACGACGACGGTGACGACGACGACCGACCACCGACGACCGACCACCGACGACGACGACTGACGACTGACGACCGACGACCGACGACGACGACGACCGACGAGCCACGACCGACGACCGACGACCGACGACCGACGACCGACGACCGACGACGACGACGACGACGACTACCGGCACGACGACGACCGACGACGACGACGGACGACGACGACGACGACGACCGACGACCGACGACCGACCGACGACCGACGACGACGACGACGACGAGGACCGACGACGACGACGACGAGCGACGACGACGACGACGACTACCGGCAACGACGACCGACGACCGACGACCGACCACAACGACGACGACCGACGACAATGACGACGAGGGCGACGACCGACGACCGACGACCGACGACGGACGACGACGACCGTCGACCGACGACCGACGACCGACGAGAACGACGACGACGAGGACCGACGGCGACGACAACGACGACCGACGATGACGACGACGACGACGGACGACCGACAACCGACGACGACGACTACCAGCTACGACGACGACGACGACCGACGACGACGACGACGGTGACGACGACGACGACCGACCACCGACGTCCGACGACCGACGACGACGACGACGACTGGCGACTGACGACCGACGACCGACGACGACGACGACCGACGAGCCACGACCGACGACCGACGACCGACGACTGACGACCGACGAGAACGACGACGAGGAGGACCGACGACGACGACGACGGACGACGACGACGACCCGACGACGACAACCGAGGACCGACCACCGACGACCGACGTCATCGACGACGACCGACGACGACGAGGAGGAGGAGGAGGAGGACGACGACGACCGACGACCGACCACCGACGACGACGACGACCGACGATCGACGACGACGTCTGACGACTGACCACCGACGGATGACCGACGACCGACGACCGACGACTGACGAGCGACGAGCGACGACTGACGACGACCGACGACTGACGACCGACGACCGACGACCGACGACCGACGACCGACCGACGACCGACGTCCGACGACCGACGACGACGACCGACGACGACGAAGACGACCGACGACGACGATAACGACGAGGAGGAGGGCGACGACCGACAACCGACGACCGACGACGACGACGACGACCGACGACCGACGACCGACGACCGACGACCGACGACCGCCGATGACGACGACGACGACGACGACCAACGACTGACGACCGACGAGCGACGACCGACGACCGACGACCCGCGACCGACGACCGACGACGACTGACGACTGACGACTGACGACCGACGACCGACGACCGACGACCGACGACGACCGACGACCGACGACCGAGGACCGACGACCGACCACCGACGACGACGACCGACGACGACGACCGACGACGAGGAGGAGGAGGACGACGACTGACGATGACGACGGCGACGACGGCGACGACCGACAACCCACGACAGACGACCGAGGACCGATGACTGACGACAGACGACGATGACGACGACGAGGAGGAGGACCGACGACCGACGGTCGACGACCGACGACCGACGACCGACTACCGACGACAGACGACGACGACCGACGACGAGGATGAGGAGGACGACGACTGACGATGACGACGGCGACGACGACTGACGACCGACAACCGACGACGACGACCGACAACCGATGACCGACGACTGACGACGACCGCGACGGACGATCGAAGACTGGCGACGACGAGGACGACGACGACGACGACCGACGACCGACGACCGATCACCGACGACCGACGACCGACGACGACGACGGACGACCGACGACCGGCGACCGACGACGACGACTGGCGACTAACGACCGACGACCGACGACGACGACGGCGACGACCGACGAGCGACGACCGACGACCGACGACCGACGACCGACGAGAACGACGACGACGAGGACCGACGACGACGACGACGGCGGCGACAACGACGACGACGACGACGACGACGGACGACGACGACGCCGACGACGACGAGGAGGAGGACGACGACGAGGACGACGACGAGGATGACGACGACGACGAGGAGGAGCATGACGACCGACGACGACGACGACGGTGACGACGGTGACGCCGACCGACGTTCGACGACCGACGACCGACGACCGACGACGATGTACGACTACGAGGAGGACGATGACGACGACCAAGACGACGACCGACGACCACCGACTGACGATCGACGACCGACGACCGACGACCGACGACGACCGACGACCGACGACCGACGACAACGACGACGACCGACGACATTGACGACGACGATGACGACGACGACGACCGACGACGACCGACGAGCGACGACCGACGACCGACGACCGACGACCAAAAGGAACGACAACGACGAGGACCAACGACCGACGACGACAACGACGACGACGACGGACGACGACGACGACGCCGACGACGACGTCGAGGAGGACGACGAGGACGACGACGACGATGACGACGTCGACGATGACGACGACGACGACGACCGACGACCGACGACCGACGACGGACGACCGACGACGGACGACCGACGACTGGCGACGACGACGACGACGACGACGACGAACACGACGAACACGACGACGACCGACGACCGACGACGACGACGAGGAGGGCGCCTTGGGCCGCGCTGGGCGAAGCGCCTCCAGCGGTCGGTCGGTCGGTCTGTGTCGTCGTCGTCGTCGTCGTCGTCGTCGTCGTCGTCGTCGTCGTCGTCGTCGTCCGTCGTCGTCGAAAAACAAAAGTCGGCATAAACATAGTTTCTCGGAGGTCCGCGCGGATGCCTTAGATCGGCGCTGGGCCCCCCTAGCGGTGCCTCTGGCGCCGCCCCCAGCGGGCTCCGCGCGCCATAGGGGGGTGGTCCAGCTTCGATCCAAGACATCCGCGCGGACCTTCGAGGAAGTAGGTGTCGGTTTTTGTTATTCCTCCCGGGCAGACACCTGGAGGCAGATGGAAGGTACAGCCAGCCTCCGCTTGCTTCACCAGGATCCGCTTCGATCCGATCGCTCTGGCCTGGCTGCCAACTTCGGCTGGCCCGCTCCGATTCGATTCCGCCATTCTTATGTCGGGCCCGTCCCTCCCTCTGCAGGAGGAGAATTCGAAAATTGGAAAACAGTCTGGGACGATTTTTGGAGTCGTTCCTGAATAGTTTTGAACATTTATCGGGTATTTTTGACTTTTCATCCAAAATCCCCCCTGTAGGGGGACAGGCCCGACCTAACGCTATTCCTCGGCCACGCGCAGAGGGGGGTCAGGGGGAGGGGGAAAGGCTTCTTGCACGCACCCCTGCTTCCTAGAAGCATAGAAGCTGCGGGCCCTGTGGATGCAGGGCCGGCGCCTTGAGAACCAGTCTGAATCTAAGGAGCCTTCCCCCCCCCCTGCTCCCCGCCCCCTGGGGCGCCGCGCCGACTTCCGACGACCCGCTGCGTTCCGAGCGTCACCGATCCTGGCGGTGCAGAGGCGACGTCAGTCGCGGCTGGTCGCCGTGGGTCGCCGTCGTCGCCGTGCGGCGCCGCAGGACGATGGGGGAAACGTGAGACTCGAGTGCGCCGGAACTCGGAGTGGCCGACGCTTCTTGGCGAGCGCGGTCTGGATTTTGAGGGTCCAGTTTTCGTGGGATGTTTGCAGCGGGAGGTCGCGTCAAATTTCAGACTGGGTCTCGCCATTTTCATGATGGCCCCGTCAGGCCAACCCGAGTCCCCCGAACTTGAGTTTTACGTCTCCCGCAGAGCAGGGTGGATAGAGAAGCCATTCTCTGCCAGCTGGCCAGCTGGCTCGGATCGGACGACCGGGGAGGTTCGGGAAAGAGGGGATACACGCTGGTCGTTGAAAGAAGGTATTTTTGGCTTCCTTTCCTAGATCCCAGTCTTCTTTTGGTGCCTTGCCACTTCTTTCCTCCTCTTCAGGGGGCGGGCGGAAGCCCAATCTACGGTGGGGGCCCATGCCAAGAGACACCTTGCTCGCCTCCAGGGTGCCCTGGACGTCGTGGGTTTCGATGGTTTTGCGATGGAGAGCGCGACGCTCCCACGCCAAAGACGGACTTCCTGGGGTCTCAGGGTTGGGCTTCTTGTGGAAGGCTGCCTGTGGACTGGCCTCCGCCGTACTTCCAACGCCCTCCTGCTTTGTGTTTCTGCCCACGGCTTCGGCCGGCGTGCACGAGCACGAGGGCTGCTGCACGCAGCTGCTCTCGCGGCTCCGCCGCGGGGCCCCGCCTGGCCCTCGCCGCACGGGTGCCTCGTGCGCGGGGAGGCGCCAGAGGGAAGCTGGCCTGCGTGAGCTGCTCTGCTTCCCCCCCCCTTGCCGACACCCCCTTGCCAATCTTCGGAGAAGAAAGCACCACACGAGCACAAACTTTTAGCGCTCCGCGCGGGTTTCTTGGATCCGCGCCTGGGCCCCCCTGGCGGCGCCTCCAGTGCTAGAAAGCGCCCCCTCGCTCCTGACTTGGGCGTTCCTTCTCGCAGCACGATGGCTGCACCTCTATTCTGTAGTCGATCTCCTACTCGAACGGTGACCCTCGAAGAAGCAGACACGCCATGAACATAAACTTTTGGCGCTCCGCGCGGATTTCTTGGATTCGCGCAGGCCACCGCGTAAGGTCGCTGTTTCATCTCGCGCCATACTTGAGTCGGGCCTGTTCTTCAAAAATAGTCAGGGGACTTTTTTGGGGGGATTTGTTTTGAATATTTTTAAGCCTTTTTGGGTATTTTTCCCCAATCAGAGCTTGCCTCTGTAGGGGTCCTAGCGGATTTAAGGGTAGGTGAGGTGCGCCGCCGATTCGGTGGCCGGGCCCGGGTGCCTGGGTGCCCGGGTGCCCGGGTTCGCCGCCGATTCGGTGGCCGGGCCCGGGTGCCCGGATGCCTGGTGCCTTGTAGCCCCATAGCTTTATAGCCCCATATCCCTATCGCCCTACAGCCCTATAGCCCTATAACCCATATAGCCATCTAGCCACATGGCCCATATAGCGCCCAAGAGCCCAAGCCCTACAGCCCTAAAAAGATTATGATTGGGTTTTTTCTCTGGTATCATGTATTTTTTGCCAAAAAAAACCCTGTATCGGGGGCGGAAAAGAGGGGGGTGATAACTATGGGGGGGTGGATATCATGGCGTGGGCCATGATATCTCCCCAGATTTCATGGCGCCTCTTCTTATTTCATTACGTCCCTGGCCCCCCCGCTGGGCCGCGCACATGCCGCCGGTCATGATTTGCACCCCCCCCTCTTGGACACCCCCTCTTGGCCGCTCCCGACTGTAGGGAAGCAGGCCCGACCTACCGCTGCAGCCGCCCGCGCGTGCGACCACGGCCGCCGCCCCGCGGCGCCGCCCGCGCGCGCGCCGGCCCCGCAGGGCCCGCCCCTGTGCGGCGGCCGCCGCGCCGCCCGGCGACAGCCCGCCGCGGCCGCGCGGCGCGCGGAGGCCGCGGCGGCCCGGCGGCGCGCGGTGCTGCCGCCGCCGCTCGTCGAGGGAGGAAGAAAGTACGCGGACCGGACAGTGTGGCGTTGGCGTGTGGAAGTGGACTATTGGAGTGAAGCGTGCCGCCAAGTCTTTCCAGAGGTCTAAACACGCGTTTCAAACATGCTTGAAGTACGTAAAAAACACATGCTTGAAACATGTTTAGAACACGTTTCACACATTTCAAACACATATTTAATTTAATGATAGGATCGTTAGAGTCATGGCATCCACAAGCGTTGACTAAACGGCCCTGGGCGTCTACTAAACGGCCCTGCCCTGTTCGATTCCTCCTTTGGGCGCGTTTGCGAAACGACTTCGCGTGTCGGGGTGGTGATGATGGGGGTGGATGGTTTATCCTCTAATTCGTCTAGGCTCAAGTCGGGCACGTCCCTCGACAGAAGGAGTATTCAAAAATCGTTAAAAATTGATCTGGGGAAGATTCATCGACTACTTTTGGCTATTTTGGATTCTTTTTTTAGCTATTTTCCCTAGAGGATCCGCCTGTAGGAGGACATGCCCGACCTAAGCCTAGGCCTCCCAGATGGGGTCGGAGGATCGCGCCGCATCGCCGATGCATCGGCGATGCGGCTCGATGTGGAGCCCGTGGTTCCCCACGCCGACGTTGGCGATGCATCGCCGTCGTCCCCGATGCATCGCCGAGGCATCGCCGGTACATCGCCGATGCATTGGCGATGCGGCGCGATCCTTCGACCCCATCTACGGTAGGTTCGCGTCGTGTCGACCGGCGGCGACCCCGCCAGCGGCGTTCAACTTTGAACGCCGGCGGCGGCCCAGAATCGATCGATGTTGAACGATTGGACGTTGCGGAGACGGCCGATCGTTCAAGGTTGAACGATCCAGCGCGGTGTCAAAAACCAACGCTGGGGTCGGCACGACACGAACCTGCCGTACTCGGACCCCATCTAGGAGGCCATCTAATTCGGCGGCGAGCCCGGGGGAGAAGCGAAAGGGGGCGGGCCTTTTCTCGCAGAAGACTCGGAAGAAGTCGCCCGGCCTTCCTGCGAGATTTTCTCGGAGCCTTTTCCCAGAAGGCTTCCCTCTCAGAAGTTTTCGGAGCTTTCCTGATGGGCTTGTTTTCCACCACCACCACAAGTTTGAGGAGGGAAGGAGGTGGAGGATGATGATGATGAGGAGGAGGAGGAAGAAGAAGAGGAGGAGGAGGAAGAGGAGGAGCAGGAGGAGAGGACCCGCTCCCCCTCCTACTTCTGGTGGTGGCGGTGGAAAACAAGCCCACTATTTCTGAGAAGGGGCGCGCCTTCTCAGAAGACCTTCGCAGGGTGTCCAGGGGAGAGGGTAGGGAGATGGGGTTATTATTGCAAGATGAAAGGGAGAGATCTGTAGACGACCTCAGCCCACAGGGCTGGTGGGACGTGGAGCCGCCGGGGGGTCTGAGGTGGCCTAGCACTTGTTCTGGCGAGTAGGAATAGCGAACAAGTGGGGTTCGACGAAGCTTTTTGCCTTTTTGGGCCCCCAGGTGCCGCTTTCGGGCCCAGGGTGAACACCTGCACCCCATGGACCCTGGGAGGGGTCGGGGGACAGATTTTGAGCGGATTTGGTCTCATGCCCCCTCCTGACCGATTATCTGGGGTCCCAACAGTTCAGATCCCCCAGCCGCCTCCAAGCCCAAGCATGCTTCTTCTGAGTCGGGCACGTCCCTCTACAGGAGGGATATTCCAAGCTAATCGAACAATAGTCTGGGGACGACTTTTTTGACTATCCTTGACCATTTGGGGGGTATTTTGTTGTTTTTTTGTTTCTCCGTCCAAGATCCGCCTGCAGGGGGGCATTCAGGAGGAGAGAGAACTTTTTGGTCTGCGGGGCGAGAGCGAACCTCATCCGATAAAAGTTAAGCGGGCTACGCACAGCTCTAATTGGGGAGACAGAGCAAAGGCGGGCGGGGCCTCAGGCGACCGGAGGAGAGAAAACACACAGACACAAATAATCGTCGATTCCCCAGAAAATATGGGAAACTATGGGAAGTGGGTGGGGCAGACAGAAACCCAGAAAATGTGAGAAAATATGATGCGAAATCTTGTCATTTGCAAGGGCGCCCTCGAGGGCGCGAAGTTATTCGCGCTTCGCGCTTCGCGGTTCGGCTCCGATTCCTCATCCTCCTCATCCTCCCCTGGGAGGCGGCGCGAGAGCGCGAAGTTCTTCGCGCTTCGCGCCTCGCGCCGCGCGCAGCGCGAAGTTGGGAGCCCTCGTATTCGTGTCTATCTATTTGGCCTCCCCCTCTTTGCTAATTCAAGTTTCGCGCGGCCCGCTCAGCTTCGACGGGAAGAGGTGCGCTCTCGA